GTATCATATTACATCTTATTGTGATGATTTTGTGTCAATTTAACCCTTAAAATCATGGATTTATTTTAAAGGAGCAGTGTGTAGGAGGGCGACAACTACCGATAGCAACCAGGTGAAACTTCTCCCATGTGCCAAGCGTGAACTCCAGGTTGCGATTCTTTCTATTCTATGGACTTTTAATCATCTTGTTTGTTAGTTTGTTCTGTTTTGTTTGGTTTGGTTTGAGTTGATTCCCTCTGTGGTCATTGTTCAGAAGGTTTTTTAATGGGAGCCAAATTATTAGCAGAGGTTTCTTCCTCTCCCAAACAAACAGACCAGGTGATATAAACAGGTAAAAACAGAATAAAGTAGTTTCATGACACAAATCAATGTCTCTTCTATGCTGTTCGGCTAGTCACAGACAGGCCACTAGCCTAGCATCTGCCAAAGGGTGCTCACCTTTCCTCTCTGATAACTTAAGATCCAGACGTTCAGGAGGTTTTTACTGGGATCTGAATTATCCTCTCCGAAACAAAGAGATCCAGTGATTTAAACCAGGAAAAACACTCTTTCACGCTAAAATATCCGTGTTTTTCTGATGCTGCTTGTCACGGAAGGGCTGCTAATTACATTGGCCAATATAAGAACCTGATTGAATGGCCCTATCTAGAGCCAGTGTTTGGTTTTTCCATTCCTTTCTACTGTAGAAACATGGCAGTGCAACATGGTGGACTCCAAGGAAAAGGATCCCTACGTAGACATAAACAGCTCATTCTAAGGTGACGAAAAAGCAATGATTCTTATTTTCGGGTGATTATACACTTAAGAAAACATAGTTATTATATTATATTCCATGTCTGCCAGTGTATCCCCCAAAATCCAACACACTGGACCTTTAAGGGAAATATGGTAACAGATTGGAAACAGTGCTTCTGAGTTGAACCCTGAATGTCATGGTTACAATAATGAATGCTCACTGCTGCTTGCCTTCTGCCTGAGTGTGCAAACTGACCACTGTTAGCACTGCAGAAGGTAGGTGGGAAAAGAGACAAAATGTGTGTGTGTTTTTGTGTGAGACCGAAAGAAACTAACTAACAGAGAGAACAAAAGGACAGAAAGAAGCATTCCACAAATTCCTTCATCTCTCTCTTTTTTTCCGAGCTTCTCTTTCTGTGCGAAACATTGTACTTACCTGCTGTGATCAAAGAGGTGGAACCAATTGGCTGAACACGCTCACACTCACATGCACGTGCACGACTGAAACTAAAGCAAGGCGGCGCACTGAAAGTGACAAAGGAGACAGACAACACTGACCGGGGCTAAATAGAGCAGGCATGTGTGTTCAGATCAATAGATGTATTAGACCAGGGTGTGTCCATTCTACTGAATCGAGTTCTGTGGCAAAGCTGCTCCACAGGCCCAGATGGAGAGCGAGGAGAGAGGAGAGAAGGACAGGGGTCATGATAGAGAGGGAGTCTAAAGGTGGGCGTGAAGTAGTGAGACAGAGAGAGAGAACGAGATGGAGAGTGTGGTGACAATGAGGAGACGCTGTGGTAAGAGAAAATTAGTGGATGTGGGAAGTGAGACAAGAGAGAGCAACTGGCAGTGCAGAGGGAAAGAATGATAATTTAAAGCTCAGTGGGGAAGCCACACAAAAGAGCTTCCCATCTAATCTAACTGTCACCTGAGTCTCACCAGACTCTGTAGTTTCCCCTCAGCACTATGAGCATTTTGGGACTAAAATTAATCACCACAAATTGTAATCATTGCTTATACAATGTTGTAAATTATTTTACAATCTTTTTTTATATCTGCCCATGCAGCAACCTCCAGAGCTAAAAATGAAGCCAACAGGGACATGCCAAGAACTGCAGTTCCTAAAATGGCCACTTGAGGCTGGCTCCAAGAGTGAGTCAATCTCCATAGATAACCATGTTAAAGTGCACGACTGTACAGCAGAATAAACATGTTTACAGCCTGGTACAGAAACAGATTCTGTCTCTTTAGCACATTTAATGTTCAGGACATGTTCAGGGTGAATTTTTATTTAACTCACCCATTTAAATGTTATTAAGGCTTAAAGTTATGCGTAATAAGTCTTGTGTGTGATCCTTGATTTAGACCTACATTAACAACATAATTTTTCCACCTCAGGCACATCGCCAAGATACGACCATTTCTGAATGAAAAAGATGCTGAGAAAGTGATTCATGCCTTTATTTCAAGCCAACTCGACTCCTGTAATGCACTTTTTACCGGCCTCCCAAAAAACACCACGGAGAGACTTCAGCTTATTCAGCACTCTGCAGCTCGGCTATTAACCTGAACCAAGAGGAGAGAGCACGTCAGGCCTGTCTTACCTGCTCTGCACTGACTTCCTGTTACATTTCCAATAGATTGTAAGCTCCTCCTCCTTGTATACAAAGCCCTAAAAATGGGCTAGGACTGAGCTACATTGCTAACTCCCTTGTTAACTACTTCGATCATCTGCTGATGTTTAACTGGAGGTTCCCAGCAACAGCCTGAAGAAGATCGGGGATGCAGCCTTTGTCAATTACGCCCCAAAGCTATGGAACACACTACCCATAGATATCAGAGAAGCCAGATCAATACATGATTTTTAAAAGAAAGCTAAAAACCCATCTGTTCACTCTGGCCTTTAAAATCGCTCTGACTTTGCTGATACAGGTCTGAAACTCTTTCTTTTTACACTTCACACTGCTGCAACAAATTTAAAATCTAACTTGATTTTATGATTTATAGTTTACATTTCTATGATTTTATGAATAATTTTCGTTCATTGATGAGTCACTACCTCTCCAGCAACAATGGTTGGGTGACATAACGATGGCGTAACCCCCAGATTCAGAATATGGGTGTAGCCATAACTGTTGCTCTTTCAGTATGTTTTCAGTTCATGGAAGTTAACTGTAACATTTTGGTTGCCTAAAAAGCATTTGGTTGTACTATAGAGCCTCTGAGGAGTCAGATGTCCAGTGTTTCTGCTAAGTACATTTGTTTTTATAGTTTTATGTCTGTTTTTTAGCGAGCCAAAATTAGCATTAGCATTATCACAGTTAACCGCAGCTGTAAATGCACTGTGCTAACCAAGCTAGCAGCTAGCGTTACGGTTAGCTCCACTCTCTTCTCCAAATAAAGTCACTTCTGACTTTGGAAGATGGCGATAGCTAAAATGCCAAATTCCAGGCTTTAAACCAGTAGTCCAAAAATCAATAGCTGACGTCAGGGTGCTACATGCTTTATTTTATACAGTCTATGGATGTTATGTAGTGTAATGTACAGTTTTTAACAAGTACAAACACGAGTTTAGGAGTGTTTGTTACTGTGGTTTTGGATCTATGGCGACACATTGTAAGAATATAAGAGTAAAGGCAAAGGCAGACAGAAGGAGAGGAAGAGACAAAGACCGAGGCGGGCGGAAGAGAGGTGAAGATAGTGGGCCGAGCGTGAAGGAGGAGGTGAATAAGTGTGGAAGCGTGAAAGGAAAGAAGGAGGGAGGGAGGAAGGACCGAGGGTGGAGATGAGATGTGCATTCCTCAGCAGGGGCGTGACCCGGCGTGCATGTGTGTGTGTGTCAGCGTGCACACATCCCAGAATTACTGGGAGGTAGCTTAATTCAATTTCTAACACGAAGATGATGGCGAAGACAGAGAGAGGAGGGGAGGTAGGGAGGCAGGGAGGGAGGGAAACGAGAGCTGACTCACCGTGTGATGACAGAAATAGAAGAAGAGAATAGGAATGAGTAAAAAAAAAAAAAAAAAAAAGGAGCGAGGGGACGGAGGAAAGCCAGAGACAAACAGAAAAAGAGGGCGCTTGAAGAGAAGGAAAGTGACGGGATAATGAGAGCAGGAAATGAAAAGGATGCCTTGGGTTAAAAGGGTGTGATTTGTCTGGAGGAAGAGAAAGGGAATGAAAGTGGAAGAGATTAAGAGCGGGAGAACACATATTTCCCAACATTACAGATCAGAAAATACACGTCTCAACATGCACTCACCAAAACAGCACACACACACATCCAAAGAGGTGTGTGTGTGTACGTGTGAAGGCAACTGAGGTTTTTGTAGTGTGTGGCAGGAGGCCAAGTACATGATAGATTGATCAGCTTATCATCTGCTCCTTTGTTCTCACACACGCTGCATCACTTTGAATAAGTGTGCACTCACAAGACACACACTCAGAGATTTATAGATGCACGTACACACACGCACACACACACACACACACCAAACTGGCTCTAAATTTTCTTAGAGAGTGATTTAATATCTAGTGATGTAATTTCACAACCTGAAGTCCTTCTCCACGTATTACTTCAACGGTAAATTTGTCTCTCGGGAGTCTTGGGAGTAACATCAAAGCCCTGAATAATTTCAAGTGCACACACGCGCACGGAGATAAGAGCACCTGTTAATGACCGAAATGTAGCGAGGAACGGGTGAGGAACAAGCGCTGGTTTCCAAGATGACAGCGTGTGAAATGAGTCACTGCGAGGCAGCGTGTGTGCATGTGTGCAAATCATCCCTTGTATAATATTACAGCCTCCTGCCAGACTGGCTGCGTCTCCGTCTCATCCAGATGGCTTCTGAAACCAACAGACAGCTGGGAGTCCCCGACCAGGCCGCTCCCGCTTCATCCATTTACCCGTCTTCAAGGCCGAGACAAATGCACCAGAACAATCCGTGAAATTATCAGGACATGCTCCCCTTTGTGCCGACCCCTAAGTGTTACCATTAGACAAAACTGAGGAGAAAAACTACACCACAGACGGATGAAGCAAAGCAAACGTAAAGGAGGTAGGTTTTGAGCTGGATGTAATTTTCCTACTTGGATTTCCTAAATGTCCACGTCCTGAATTCGCTGCAGTGACAATGAAACAAACCCAAACTTGGCCTCAATATTTGCTTTTGACACACTGATCCTTTCATCACTGTCCATTTGTTACAGGTTTTGAAAGTGATTCACACACACAGGTGCAGACACACATACAGATGCCTCTTTCCTACCTGTGTTTCCTCCTGCACCACTCTGTACTGCTCCTTCCACACGGCCATCTTCGTGGCTTCATCCTTTCTCAGCGCCCTCTCTTTCTTCAGCTCCGGACTCCAAAACGTCTTTATGGAGTTCATAGAGGAGCTCAGCTTGGACTCTTTGGCCTCCAGCTGAAAGAAATTAACATCAAACATTGGGACTTTGTTGTGATAAATGTCAGGGCATTAAACATCCTTGATCACTGACGACAAATCAACTCGCCTAATTAGTTTGTCCTTAAAGCTATAATCTTTGTTTAAAGTTCAAGACATCAGAATTCCCAGAGTGACACAAGTAAATAAACAAGAAGCACAAGATACCATAAATTGTAGAATAAATGGACCTAACGTCAGGGACTCCCTAAAAACTTCGTATTTCACCAGCAGAGTGTTGTTTGCCTGATGAACATTCTCATCAGCTTGTCCTCTCGTCTTTTTTTTGGATAAGTTAGCAAAACCATAACCTGAAACATAATTGTTTAACCTTACTTTTGCTTTAACTTTGAGATTAAGCCTTCAGGTTAGCTCATATCTAAGTGCAACTTTAAAAAGAGACGATTTTTTTAACCTTTTTTTGATCATTAGCCCTTTTTAGATAGGAATTGTGCAAATTTGCAGGAAAGCCCAATCAGTCTTCTTTCAGCATCTGTTTAAACTAAAAGGGGTCCGCCAATATGACTACCCTATGAGGCGGAAAACTGGGCACCTTGGACTCTGTGTGTATAAGCGCTAGCAGCTTGCCGGCAAAACGGCCCAACATTTGTGGAAAATCTGGCAGTGTAAAAGGGATTTAAGTTACTAGCAGTTTTATACAAATTTTCAAACTGACCCTCATAATGTTATACTGGAGAATGTGTACAACTAAATAGCTTTAAAATATATTGATATTTAGATTAACTAAATTATGTCCAACAATCTTTACAAGGCAGACTGTTTCCATGCACACAGATGTGAGGCTAAAAATACAAATTCATACCATTCAGACCAGTGTTCTGCACTCTAACAAAGGTACATGCAGGTTATTATATAAAGCATGAACCTGCATTCAGAGCACAGTCTGACGCTGCTCGTTGGAACATGTGCTGCTGCGTCCAGCCAAACCACACCCTTCTAGGTGGAACACCAAGTTTTTAAAGAGTCCCCTATCTTCAGAGAGGTGTGTGTGTATATGTGCAGGTGTCCTTACTTCTCTGCGTAGTAGCTCGTTCTCTCTCAGCACTTCTCTTAGCTGTGTCTGCAGGTCTGACATTGCGCCGTCTCTCACCTGATAACACACACAAACACATACAGTATACATCATTAACATCCACATTTATGTTCCTGTCTTACATTATAAACATGTTATGTATCTGCAGCTGTCACTACTACTGATGACTCTGCCGAGGTGCAAATATTACTGATCAAATATGGAAATAAGGGCTTAAATATTGTATGTGAAGCACTTTGAGACTGTTATGGTGATTAAAACTTATTAAAACTACAAATATGGATGCTGATATTTATGATAATGGAGAGTATTTTACAAGTTGTAAGCACAATTCCGTCATACAGTACACACCTTACTGCAGTATTAATGAGGAAGTGCACCACATGAAAATGTTTAATTCATCTTGACACCAGGACACCAGTGCACCGAAGAATTAAAAATATCTTGGATTAATTTTTAAACGACGACCAGACTCTGCTTTGCTTTTGAAAAACTTTGCTTTTGAGTGTCTTTCAGTTCTGCAAGGTAGAGTAAGTTAACATTTTAACATCATTACATGGATGTAACATACAAAAGAGAAAGGCTATAAGGAAACAGGAGTTAAGGAGAGATGAAGAGAGGGTTTGTGTTTGAGAAATAATTAGAAGTTGAGCAGGGAGATATGGGAGAGGAAGGAGAGATGCATCTTGGAGAGATGAGCTCTCAGGTTATGACTAATGGTGAAGAGGGAGTAGGAGGGCAGACCTTAGTCTATTTAAACTTACCGTATGAAAACCCACACAGCTCTTACATTATTTAGTTGAAGCGTGACTTCAGAGGAATATTTTAACCCTTCAACAGTTAGCTGAGTTTTGGTTTAATACCTTGAACCACCCAGCTCCACTGCTACATGGAACAGGAGGGTAATTCATGTGTGACAAAACATTTGGCCTGCTGAGCGCAGCTAAATTTAATCTTTTATCTGTTTATGTTTCTTTTCTGTGCTCTCAAAAAAATGAGACAAAGATTATCTCCACCCTTAATCAGTTTGATATTTCAATTTTATAGTACTTTATACTTCTACGCCACTGCAGTTTAGATGTAATTATTGTACTTTTTACTTAACTACATCTTTTCAAAGCTTTTGTTACTTTGGATTATTACTGTAGATTATTAAAATACAGTCAGTATTAGTAAAGGTTAAGATACCCAGCAGTATATAAAGGTATTCAGCATAGCTCCATCTTCACCAGCTGCGACATGATCAAAGTGATGTACACATTACTGCATCAATAACTGAGTCATTTAATATATATTATTCTGAAATGGGTTGTTCTGCATGATGAGTACTTTTTTTATCAATTACTAAAATGCAACTAAAAACTTAAACTAGGTCTAGGTGTGAAAAAACACTTTAGTTTACTCGAGTAAAAACAAAAACTGACCAAAACAATATTGCGTGCTGATGGAACTAACTAAAGTAAAAGAAAATATACAGGAAATGTCTTTCACTTTAGTATTTGTCAATTTGGTCAAATCTGTCAACACGACAAGCATGAGGAGACACTGGTGCATGTGTTTATTCAGACTGGGATGTCTCTGTGTAACAGGGTCAATTATACAGTAGCTACATGTGGAACAAAGTCAAATGTACATTTGTAATATTATGTATGTTACTTACACAAAATTTGTTTCAGTTTTTATTGCCTGACATGCTCAGGCCTCCGTGGTCAATATGTGGAACGTTTGATACTCAGTTTCTGTACCCCTATGCTCACCTATGAGGGTACCCCACCTCTTTAGCTGTTGTACTCAATGGGAGAGGTAAGTGACATTGCTGTCATGGTATTTTCCATGTTTTAATGCTGTTGCTCTGTTTATAAGTTCATTTTATTTTATTTTATTTTATAATCCTGTGTCACTTAATTTGTGTTGGGGCTCGAGTTATAATAAAAACTCAACTGAAATAAGCAAACCCTCCCTGAAAACAAAAACTATAAACGAAATAAAATCAAAAACTAATTAAAACCACAACTCCTAATGTCTCTGCTTGTAACAGAGTGTGTCTACACTGCAGTATTACTACTGTACTTAAGTAAAAGATCTGAATACTTGATCCACCACTGTGTAAGAGTGGTATTGATTTTCTGATCTAACGCTCAGCATTGAAGTGCATAAGCCAATTTCCCAAAACTATTCCTTTAATGCTATTTTAATCTGGGTTACTTCCAGAAACAAAATCACCAGGTTATTTTGTGTCGTAGTGTTGACTCAACACAGCAGCTTTTTAAATGTTTGTTCCTGTGGCATTAATTTGAAGGCTAAGAGTAGACAGACACTGCCCAGATAGTCTGCAGAGTAACAAACAAAGTGACTACATTTAAAACTGTGTTCAGTTCACAAAATGCTGTCTTCAGGTTGCAGAAATAAAAGAGGAAAATGATGTGATGCCTCACCTGTCTCATGGAGTGGGGGACAGTAGCTGCCTGTGCGATCTGGTTTTGCAGCTCCCCACCAAATGCTATTGCATCACTGGGCATGGCAGCACCTCCCACTCCTCCTCCAGTGTTAATATTCGGACTGCTCCCCATGACAGCCGCTCTGACCCCATAGGGGACCCTGGCCCCTGCCCTGCCGAGGGTCATGGTGCTTTTGGGCAGCTGTGGATTCAGCCCACTGCCCAGGCTCCCGATGCCGATCGGGTCATCAATTGTGTCAGCGAAGTACATGGGACCACCTGTAGCTTAGGCAGCATTTAGAGACTGAATATTCTCCATGGACAGGGTTTTACCGGAGCCAGTGAGTCCGCCGGTGGAGCTGCTGCTGCTGTTTCGCCTGTGTCCGAGGCGTGGGGAGCGGGGGAGGCGTGGAGAGCGACCGGGGCTCCCAGACGCTGAGCCGTTACCATTGGATCCAACAATGTCCAGCTTTGAGACGGAACGGGAGCTACCGTACATGGTAACTGAATATGGTGTGTGTACTATAGTGATGAAAGAGGGTCTGATTCAAATGAATAAATCAGGCAAATCAAAAATACATGTTCAAAAGTACACAAAAAATCAGTATAAGCAAAAAATGTAGGATGGAACAAACTGCGGTCACTCTTCTACAGTAGTCCTTCTTGACTTTCTGAATTATCCTGACGCAGTGTTGACATAGCTGTGATCAAGGCCTTTCCGGCACCCTCGCTGTAATCAATGGGCTTTGTTAGAAAGCAGGAATCAATAGGGCATCCCTTTTAGATGAAGGCAGAGAGTAAATCCACAAGGCCTGAGATGAAGGGATCACCTAAAATGAAAGGAAGGAAGAGACAAAGACTTAGTGATCAGTGGAACAAAGATACACTGCATTAAGGTACAAAGGAACACACTGGATTTTTACCAGATTACAATTTTGATTAATCTACTTTAGAGCAACAGACTGAATTCATCTCTTTGTGGACGGTATTTACTGTACACAAAATGCCAGTATTGGACAGTTATGTCAGGTATTGGCGACTGGCTGAAGACATCACCAGCTTTTTTTAAATTGGATTTTTGTCATTTTATATTGCTAATTTAGTGGTCTGTCTCCGAAGAATGAGTGAGAGGTGCAAACAGGGAAAAACAGCATGTAGAGCCAGCACACACCCGTGCTAATACATCAGCAATCGCCAGTTGGTGAGCTAACAGTGGCCGCTTGGAAGATTTTAACATAGTGCCCAACCCTAGAACTGCATGTATGTTACTAATGCATGTACTGTAGTCTCGTATCACATGGCACTGGCCTTTCCAGGAAAGAAAATAGGACAGAGCAAGACTAAGACCTTTGCACACTGAGTCAGATGGGTGTCTTTAATCCATCACCCTAAATACATTGTTACACACAGAAACCTTGCACGCTGATTTCCATGCATTTTATTGTTCTAGTCGTTGTGAAAATTCGCAATACTTGACAAAATAAAAGGACATTTCCTCCTTTGCCTCTCTCCACTGGAGTTACCTATCTGGCTGTCACAGCTCCCTCTCTGTCTTTCATTTGACAAGACACTGTCCTGTTGCGGCTGTGTCCCACCGCCACATTTCCTTCACTGATTCTTGGTCAAACGTCTCTAAAGGCTTCAGATGGTTGCGAAAAACACAGGAAATTGAACCTGTTCTGAAAATGTAATAATTGAAAATGATTGACACAATGTGAAGTCGTATATATTTTTAGGCGTGCGACAATTCTGGACCAAAAAAAAGGACTCAGTTCCTTATGGCTCTACAAGGTTGTAATGCTCATTCTTAAGAAAACCAATCTGATTGAAATTTTGACCTAATGATGGTCAACAGATGAAAAGTTAGCAGATCAGAGAGACCAGGAATGTCTTCACCAAACTGCTTGATGATCCATAATAGTTGTCCATCAAATAGTTGTCAAGACATTCGACTCAGAGCTACAAGTGTCAACGCCTTATTGCGCTAAATTGAAGGGACAGTTTACCCCAAAATCAAAAATACATATTTTTACTCTTACCTGTAGTCCTATACAAAATACAAATAATATTTACATCTTGTGCTGTCACAAGCACTAGCCATGAGTAGATGTACGCTTCCTTCTGGTGATACGGGTGGCGGATGCAGTTTGGTAGAAAGTTTGGTTTCTACATGAAACTGCTCATAACAAGGTCTGCAGATTATCTTGAGTAACCAATATCATTAACACTCTGCAACTCACACCAAAACAATCTACACTGATAAATGGCTCCACAGGTAAGAGGTAAAATATGCAATTTTTATTTTTGGATGAACTGTCCGTTTAAGAGTCAGAGGATTATCCAATAATCCAATAATCACTCATTAAAGATGCCCCAAAACTCCTTCTTCTGCCACCACTATGACTTGTACAGAGATATGAGAGGCTGATACACTCAGTCCACAGAATACAGTCAAAACAGTGCTTTGGCTTTATGCACAAACTCTGCCACAGGCACAAGCATCAGCTGATGTGTCGGTTCATATGATCACACAGGCCGCTTTGTCTCCCCGCCATCCGTTACACCTTCTTCAGATCATCATCACACTATGTCCTAACACTTCTGGGCATCACATCAGAGTTACTGTCCTGCAGCTGTAACAAACTGAGTGATAACAGATAATATTCATTCAGCTGATCTGATGGAACATTCATGACGGTAAATAATTAGTTTGTCTCCTGGAAGAATTACAGGCACGAAAATAGAATACTCCAGTCAATTAAATCTTGTTATTTTATGGGCTTTTAATCGGAGGGAGAGTAGATGCCAAAAATGTAAACTACTACGTTTCACATGAAGCAAAAACACCATGAAATAGTATTCTGTCATGCTTTACAGCCTGGTATTAGAGTATGTGTGTGTGATGAAATAAATAACTTAAATATTAAAGTGGATTCAGTCAAACAGGTCAAAGAAACCTTGTAATTAAAACAGCTGTAAAAATAATGAAGAATGTCATTCCTACTGAACTCAATTTAAAGGTGTAATCCGTGGCATTTTACTGACATAACTCACGAGCACTGGCTCACACGTCGCTGATAAATGCCTCAGAGGGTGCTGAAAATCCAAGACTTCTGTTGTGAATGCTCTAATCTCCCACGCCCCCTGAACTACCCACCATGTGCTATGTAAAAATTTGTCTGCATGAAGAATAAGGAAGCATTTACAGCCAACAGTCATCTTTCAGTCATTCCGGTATCCTTGGAGACAGTGATGTCATCCTCAGGTCAGTGGACACATGACCCATTGGACACACCATCTGATCCTTACAAGTATGACCTAAAGTGAACTGAGCCGCCTCATAAATAGTCAGCACCCTCCAAGAATGAAAACTTCTGTCGTTTTTATCTGGCTTGTTTCTTCTCTATAATAACACATGGTAATTCTTAGAGTGCAGAAATATTCGCCCTCGAGTCCAGTACTTACATACCGAGGCTTTGACTTTAAAACCACTTACTGTCTGCAACATTAAAGATCTAGGAACTTGAGCTGGTAACATTTATTCTGGAGCTTCAAAGTCTAATACTGAACAATAGGACATTAAGGCACTTTTTAATTTGAATTTAGTCTTGAATGCAGACAACACTTAATACATGTTGTTCTCTAAAGCCAGAGAAATATGGACAATAGTTTACACACTGTAAACGGTCACAGCAGTATGGTCTGAGCGGGGCTCAGAGTATAAATAATGTGGTATCTGACTGGATCAAAAAGTTACATTTAAATTTCACAGACACACTTTGCAATGAGCTACAACAGAAAAACTGGATATCAGTGCAGAAACAGAGCTAATTTATATCCTCAGTAGGAAGCGTATGATCTGTATGTGTAATCATTTAAAAAAGGTAATATATTAATCTGCATTAAGTTAAAATCCTGTTGAAGTTAAAAAGCTCATATAGGTAAAAGAAACAATTCATAAAAAAGAAGGACTGAGATGTTAAAAAGACCATAAAGTCACTATAAACATGAGTTTAAAAACAGTAAATGTGAAGAGTTAAAAAATGGTTTAAAACTGTAAACTCATCAGATGTTTAAGAAGGGGTTAAAATGTTACATAATCTCTCATTCATTTCATTGTTTGTTTTATTTGTTACAGTTAAAACCTAAGCTATAATAATCTCTGTCTTCCACTAAGGAGGTCTAGATATGTCAGAATCGGGGATCGATTATTTTGGTCTGAGCCCTCATACAGGGGATATCAATGTTTTCCTCACTTCACTAAGGCCTTGTTCAGACTGCCAGCCAAAATCCGATTTTTAGCCAATCTAGATTGGAACCAGATGGCTCTTATGAAGTCTGAACAGTTAGAAATGACATGATATCCGATTTTTGCAAACCAGATCGAAACCACCTTTGGGAGGTAGTTTCAAATCACATTTGGACAGATGTGTCTGAGTCTGAACAGCTCCTTATATGACTTCACACAATACACGCTAGATGACGCCTCCGCTCCGACGTCGTTGCCACAGCAACCTGTCAGATTGGTCAGTAATGTGGCCCAGTCTGAACAGAGCCAAATCCGATTTGGACACTTGCTAAAAACAGTGTGGACAGTCAGCAGTCAAAAATCAGATTTGAATCAGATTCGCCTGCAGTCTGAACGCAGCCTAAAACTCTGGTTGAGGAAACACTGCATCACTTGTGTGATTCTTTATTCCCTGTTTTCAGGTATGTGGTCGATAATGTGAACTGTGAAAAGGTTTCTGATAATTTTATAAGATGTTTTGACTGTGAGAAGAACATTTATATGATGCTTGAGTAAGTTAAAACTATGTCTACTGGGTATTTAAAAGAACGAGCAAGCGAGACTGCCACCATCTTGTATAAATACAGCAAGTGTCTTCATTGTTAATGTGTGTATATGCACATAAGTGAATGTATTTTGCACAGTTTATATCCTGTTTATGTAGTTACTTTATTTGTTCATGTTTACTTGTTTAATTAGCAACTTTTGTATAAGGAAAGGGTGTGAGTTCACTGAGCTACTTTTCATCAGATTTACTGAGAAGACTGAACTAATAAGGAAAATGTGACTTACGTTTGAGGAATGCTGTATTTTATTTTATTAATAATTTAGATTAAGTTGTTCTATAATGCAATTTGTGTATTAAAAGACTGCAAGTTAAGATTGTTAAATTAATGTGCAGTTTAAAGATAAGTGGCATTGTATCTCATTATTTGAGCTGTAAACATACTTTACAGTATATGCAAATGTATTTTTGTGCAGATGTACTCTGTTTCAACAAACGTGTTGTTGTAAAATATGATTTGCTCACTTCACTAAAGCTCTGGTTGAGGAAACACTGCATCACTTGTGTGATTCTTTATCCCTGTTTTCCAGAGTGCAACATATGATCTCTGACTCACTCTAAAACTCCTAGATTTAGTTCATCACCCTGCCATAAGATTTATCACCTATAACCATTACTCTACTCATCATTGCATCTTGTATGAAAAGGTTGGGTACCCATCTCTAACAGTACGACATGAAAGGCACTGGTTTCTTTTTATTAAACTTACACATCACATCCTATGGTCATTATTTAGCTTATTCAAATGATTCGGAAACTGCTTTTTGTGCTGCACACACTTTACAACAATTTACACCGCACATTAAAACTTAAAAACAATGTTAAGACTCATGCAGAAGTAATCCATCTCAGTCATTACAAGCATCAGGCAACCAAGAGACACAGTGCCAAAAAACACAAATATAGCAAAGCAAAATGCAGAATAAGGACTACGCTGGCCGACGCAAAAATGGAAAATGGTTCTATCTAGAGCCAGT